CTCTCTCATATAGAATTTAGATGTGTATATGTATATATATATATTTATATATATCTATATATATGTGTGTGTGTGTGTGTGTGTATATATATCTATATATGTATATATGTATACATATATATATATATATATATATATATATATATATATATATATGTGTATATATATGTGTATGTGTATATGTATATATATATATATGTGTGTGTGTGTGTGTGTGTATATCTATATATGTATATATGTATATATATATATATATATATGTGTGTGTGTGTGTGTGTATGTATGTATGTATGTATGTATGTATGTATGTATGTATGTATGTATGTATGTATGTATGTATGTATGTATGTATGTATGTATGTATGTATGTATGTATGTATGTATGTATGTATGTATGTATGTATGTATGTATGTATGTATGTATGTATGTATGTATGTATGTATGTATGTATGTATGTGTATTAAGTCCCCTTAAGGCAAGTCATTTCACTTGGTAGCCATCATCAAAACACCTCTCAGGCAGTATACTTGGGCATTCTGTCTGAATGGGGAAACATCAAATTCTCCAAAACTACTTGCCAAGCTTAAGATTACATTTAATTTTAGGAATCACCAATAGAATTAAACAACTATCTCTTTAGTGTCATTTCTAAACGTACAAATCACAAACCGTACAAAATCTGCAGAGACTTACATCTGTTCCCTCCCCCAGAGTATCGTCAGTCTATAGTGATCGATGATTGGCTCCTGTACTAGAAGGCAGGCTTTTTTCACTATATAGCAATTAATGATTGGCTCCTGTACTAGTAGTCAGGGCTGTATTCACCATATTGACATTTGCACTTTTCCCCATTCATAAAGGTACGAGTGACACGTCTTGTGTATTCTAGAGTCTTTGTAGTGACTGTTGTAACCAACAATTAATATTGTGTAATCAGAATTAGGGGCTCCCGACCTGATCAAGTGGCCAAAATGCCTCTAAAACTAAAATGCAGACCAGTCTGGTGGCCAGTTGAAACTTTCATCAGCCTTACTAAGGTGTTATCATCATGATGGTTGTTTTATCATGTACTGTACTGATCTCTGCATTGACTCTGATCTGTCTGCAGGACATTGGAGACATTCTGGATGGGCTGTCCGTCCACCACGGTCTCCGTCAACCAGGGCAGCAGTGGACATTCAGGTAAACACACCAGTGTAGCCTTCTTGAAGACACATAAAACTGCCAGCTCCACTGTGCAGAACATCCTCTTCCGTTTCGCTGAGCGCAACAACCTCACTGTGGCGCTGCCCATCACCTCCTGCGACCACCAGTTCTGCTACCCTCGGCCGTTCAGCGTCCACTTTGTCCATCCGCACACCTCGCCCCCTGACATCATCACCAGTCATCTACGGTTCAGCAGGACTGAGCTGCGGCACCTCATGCCCAACAATACCATCTACATCACCATACTGCGGGAACCGGGAGCGATGTTTGAGTCCCTGTTTTCCTACTATAATCAGTACTGTCTTAGCTTTAAACGTGTCCCGAATGGCTCTCTAGAGACTTTCCTTGACGAGCCTTGGAACTACTATCGTCCGGATGAAAAGGATTCGATGTACGCAAGGAATACTCTGACCTTTGACCTAGGTGGTGATAAAGACCGTCCATTTACGGAGTTGTACGTGAAACGATTCGCTGCCGAGATGGAGAAAGTCTTCTCGCTGGTTATGATTGCAGAATACTTTGATGAATCCTTGGTGCTGTTACGCCGCTTGTTGGCTTGGGATCTCGATGATGTTCTTTACGTCAGTCTCAACATGCGCACAGCCGACTCCAAAAGCAGCCTTTCTAGTGATAATACGGAGAAAATCAGAGACTGGAATGCTATAGATTCAGCTCTCTACGATCATTTCAATGCCTCGCTATGGCGGCAGCTGAGAGCATTGGGACTAGCATGTGTTGAGCGGGAAGTCCAGCTGTTGCGGCAGTCTAGAGACCGACTTGTTCGCAGCTGTTTCGGGGGAAGTTTACCACCGCTTCGCTCTGCTGCACAAATCACGAATAAAGAGTTGCGGCCGTGGCAGCCCAGTGCCAAAGTGACAATCGTTGGGTACGACTTACCAGTTAATATATCAAAGAAAGGCCCCATCCCTCCTCGAGATGAGTGTCTAAAGATGATAATGCCAGAAGTGCAATACACAAAGCTGTTGCTTCGTTCAGAATCTGTACGATATCGAAAGCGGCTTCCAATACGGAGCCGCCAGCAGACTGCACGGTCCGTCGGACAACCTCGGGTTCACAAAGAGTCTTCATCTCAGAGTTTGGTACCATGACCTTCGGAGACTATGGTTCGAAGCACTAGAGTTATTCTCCCAATTTTAAAAAAGTGTGAAAGCATAGTTTTTTCTTATTTCCTAGTTGATCTAGACTGCATCTTTTAACGTTTATGACATGTTGGAATTATTTAAAAGCTTGAGGTTATACCTCTTTTATACTGAATGTGAGCACGACCACATGCACGCTCACAACCCTTGATCAATTAGTAAAGGAAACCATTCAAGTCCAAAAACTTTGACATCGGGAATGCTTCTCAATCTCTCAAGGACAATCTCTCCACATATATACCATCATTCACTGTTTGCATTTAAGCCATCTTTACCCGGCAGGAAGATCCTGATTGATCTGCTTCAGGTGGTACCCGCTTTACACTGTTCCTAGCTAGTTGAAGCTAAACTTTCATGTTTATATCTTGTCCAAGTGTGTCAGGATGGTCAATTACCAGCTAGTGACTAATAAGTTGACCGTCACGAGCAAGCTTAGTTAGTGTTGGTAGACCCCAGCAAACCATATTGAAGGTGACTTATTTTTTTCCAGCAGGGTCTCCGAATATATTTGAAGACATGTTTGTAATGATTACATTTGGGTGTTGTTAGGCTTTCCAAAAAGCACTTCATTTGAGCGTGAACTTGTACACAAGCTTATCAATATATTGACAGCTGCACCTGAGCCACAAATCACCATAATCGACTCTTCAGTTGTGGTCGAGAAACCCCAGCATCATGTGTCGATGATGCAAGCTTCTCGAAGGACATCTAAATATTTAATCATTTAATCTTTAGCCTCTCCTCAGGCAGCGCTTGGGTTACACAGCCCTACGTCTTTATGAAGGCAACTCGTACTGAGTCGGAGAGGCTTAGCCTTGATTTGAAGCTGGGAATGATGACAGGACAGTTTGTCTAAATGGAAGCTGCTGATATGTAAAACATCGCTGTACGTATGTTATCAGCTAGAGTGAGCAGTGCGTTTGTTTTATCCTTGCCTATCTTTCCACTATCACTTTTACAACAAAGTCCTTGCAAATATCTAATTTATGTCATTTAATTTTAGACTAGGAAGGACCAGAAGCTGAAGTGTGTACTCTGGTCCCCTGTGCTCTAATGGTTGGAGAGGGGTCTGGCTGCAGACTCGATGCAGTGCAATCTGAGCTGCATCCAATGCTTTTTAATCTGTCACCCAACCCCAACCCTAACCCTACCCGTCACAGTGACGTCACTCACTTCATTGAGTGCATTGTGTCTGACATTGCATCGTTGAGTGATGCAATCTCAGCTTGCATCATAAAGGCTGCATCCAGATACTATTGAATGGTTGGTGAAATTCGAAATTGAACCAAAACCACCTATTACAGTTGGCTTAATTGACAATGAAAATTCAGGAATTGCAACCAGTAGAACCTGGGACGCTCTATGTTGTATGTTTAGGACACACAATACTGAAGCAAGTATGTTTGCATACTTGTGTAGAGTATTTTTCTGGTTTAATAAGGAGCGTTAATTAAAAAGTTAAGGTTTTCTGTGGAGGCCACCTTCATAAGGAGTAGTGCCGGTTGAATGTTAAAATCAGTCCATTGACTGGTTGTATTTAAAGGCACAGTATGTAATTTTCACCACTAGAGGGCACGTGTTCGCAACAAACAAAGGGATCGTTTATTGACAACATGATTGAGTGTGGGACTAGCCATCAATCAACATGATTTTTGCAAAATATTCAACACTAATCATCATGGTAGTATGAAGCAAAGTAAGGCTGAATGCCGTGAAGAAAAACAAGAGAAACTCTAAAGCAGTTGCTGATGAGCATGAAAAAGCAGTGAAGCTTTTATAATGCCAAAGTCCACTGTTTTCGGTTCATCCACTCGTGATCATGGAGAAGGAGCAGGGCTGTTTATCAAACTGCTCTGTGAGGTCTAATAAAACAGTACATATCAATGCCGCCTTGCTGTTTTCATGTTTTATATCATCTAAAAACGGAAATCGATAGTGTGTGACATCATTAGCATTGCCACACACTGGCACGGTCTCTCATATCATCTAAAATTGCTTATTTCTCTGGATTTTAATGTTTTTTGACATATTTGATATACGGAAAAACACTGTTCTAGTTGTTTTTGAATGTTTTACTGAAAGAGTCTTGCATATTGTGCCTTTAAAACACAACACTGCAGAACCTTGTTTCAAGTAGTGCTAGCTGCAGAGCCAGTAGGGGACTTCACCTCTGTGGACTTAACGGTAGTAGCTTGACTTGGCTATGTTTAAGGGTAGGGCTGTTTTTATCTCCCTTGGTTTGGTGCACTGTTAAAAAAAAAAAAAATCTGTAATTTTACGGTTTATTTCCAGCAGCTGGAGTGTTGGGGGAAAAAAATAAAATAACGGCCATTAAATTACAGAAATTAACCATAAAATAACGGATGTTAAATTACAGAAATTTCCTTACATTTAGATTTCTGGTAAATATATGTTATTCATTATCTGTTATTTTACGGTAAATTTCTGTAATTTAATATCTGTTTTTTTACGGTAAATTTCTGTAATTTAATATCTGTTATTTTACGGTAAATTTCTGTAATTTAATATCTGCTTTTTTACGATGAATTTCTGTAATTTAATATCTGTTATTTTACGGTAAATTTCTGTAATTTAATATCTGTTATTTTACAGTAAATTTCTGTAATTTAATATCTGTTTTTTTACGGTAAATTTCTGTAATTTAACATCTGTTATTTTACAGTAAATTTCTGTAATTTAATATCTGTTTTTTTACGGTAAATTTCTGTAATTTAATATCTGTTTTTTTACAGTAAATTTCTGTAATTGAATATCTGTTATTTTACGGTAAATTTCTGTAATTTAATATCTGTTATTTTACGCTAAATTTCTGTAATTTAATATCTGTTATTTTACGGTAAATTTCTGTAATTTAATATCTGTTTTTTTACAGTAAATTTCTGTAATTGAATATCTGTTATTTTACGGTAAATTTCTGTAATTTAATATCTGTTATTTTACGCTAAATTTCTGTAATTTAATATCCGTTATTCGGTTATTACCGTGTTTGGACACCCCTGATCTACACCTACCCCAACCCTAAACCCAACCTCTCAATAACCTGATGTGTTTAATTTATATCTACTCCACCTACACCACCTAAACCTAACCTACTTGTGGTTTAAATCCCTCTCACTTAAAGGTGTCCAGGCTGCAGTGATACCTATTTGCTTTTGTTCGCCACACTTCCTAACCTAATGCCCCACCACTGTACACTTTCTTCTGCAACACTCCCCACCCTCCATGCTCTTCACTTTTATCCGAGACGGCACTCCCCAGCCACTACCCCTTCCCTGCCCCTACTGCTTCCCTCCTCCTACCCCTTCCCTGCTATTCACTTTCATCCACAACACCATTCCCCAGCCCCTCCCGCTTCCCTGCTATAGAGTGGAGGAAACTAGGAACTATGACGTCACTTTGTTGGCTAATCGGCTGCTAGCATAAAAATGGTTCCCTCGTGAAAATCCCTATAGGATTTTCCCATAGGCTTTTCGAAGATTACAAATAATAAGCTCTGTGTTCAAACACTGTTCATTACACTTACACGTTTTGTCCAGCCGGATAATCGTCACACGAAAATACAACTTTAAACACTTTTGGATCTTAAATGCAAACGCAAGAATTGAAAAGCTAACATTAGGCTATAAACAGACTACAGAGCCCTCGGGGCGCTCGTCTGTGATGTCAGCACCACCCTGCTACAGACAACTGTTCAAACTTATGTTTAGAAATATTGTCCATGACAAAGAGTTAATCTCTCTGTTCATTATATTATAATCCACGGTATATATTATAAACAAAAAAATACAAACAAACACATAGACTTATGTTGCTTTTGGATTGTTTTTACGTGGGAAATGCATCTGTTTTGCTTTACGGTTGTTTTAAAAGTTTTAAAAATGTGTGTATAAATCTGCCTATATAGTATTATCATCAGACATGTTTAAATAAGTGTATCGCTCACGTGCACACAGCCTGCTTACCTTAACAGACAACAGAAATAAGGCGTGAGGAGGAACAAGTCTATCAAATGCCTGCAAGTTCCATCATGGACACAGAACAACATTCAATATTCCTTTTTTTCTCACGAAGTACAGTGAAAAGCAGCCCATACAGTCACATCTGCTATACATTTCATGGAGGATTGTAAATATTGCAGTTATGATGGAGTTAAATGTGTTCAGATGAAGAAAAAAAGATGAAACACGTGATCACATTAAAATGACAGTTAACATGCATGTATTTTTACACATTTATTCACACGTTTGCATTACTGAGAGCAGGACAGAGACAGGCTGCTGCACTAGTAAGAAATATGTTGATAATATCGTTTAATTAAAATAAATGATCAACAAATGAATCTGTCTCGACAGCCTTTACAAGTGAAGGAATTATCTACACATAATCTGAATTCCCAATTAGAAAAACACAACAAACTATAAAATACTATTCATGAAAATACCTAAATAACAGACACATCCAAATGCCCAACACAAGCGAGCTGCGCTCCAAACCAGATCAGCTGGATGACGTATAATGTCCCCGACACCGCCTGTAGTCCCATTTAGCAACTTGATCGCAACCGTCTTTTTAAAGAAGCATTACTGATTTAAAAATTCAACAGTGTGCTGTGACTGATGTGTTTTATGTCTTAGAACAAAACGTGAAAGTGTCTTGAGTTTGTGTTAGCCACAAACCTTATTTTAGCAATTTTTCTGAAACACCGTTGAAAAAACCCATTGACTTTGGGACGAGGGAACCGGAAGTGCTAAAATGCTAACTCGCTTCCAGGTTTTTGCATATAAATTGACGACATGGTTCCTCCACTCTATTCACTTTAGTCCGCAACACCCCAGCCGCTACCCCTTCCTGCTTCTACCTCTTTCCTGCTTTTCACTTTACATTTACATTTAGTCATTTAGCAGACGCTTTTATCCAAAGCGACTTACAAATTAACTTTCATTTGCAACACCATTCCCCAGCCCCTACCCCTTTCCGTCCATTCCCTTTTGTCCGCAACACCACACCAAGGCCCCTATCCCTTCCTTGCCCCTACCTTTTCCCTGCTCCTACCCCTTTACTACTATTCACCTTCATCCTCAACACCATTTACCAGCCCCTATCCTTTTCCTGCCCCCCCCCACCCCTTTCCCGCTATTCACTTTCATCCTCAACACCATTTCCCAGCCCCTCCCCTTTCCCTGCTATTCACTACACACCGGCCCCTACCCATTCCTTTCCCCTACCCCTTCCCTGCCCCTACCCCTTCTTTGCCCCTACCCCTTTCCCTGCCCCTGCTCCTACCCCTTCCCTGCCCCTATCCCTTCCCTGCCCCTACCCCTTCCTTGCCCCTACCCCTTCCTTGCCCCTACCCCTTCCCTGCCCCTGCCCCTTTCCCTGCCCCTGCTCCTACCCCTTCCTTGCCCCTACCCCTTCCCTGCCCCTTCCCCTTTCCTGCCCCTTCCCCTTTCCTGCTTTTCACTTTCATTTGCAACACCATTCCCCAGCAACTATCCCTTCCCTGCTCCTACCCCTTTACTACTATTCACCTTCATCCTCAACACCATTTACCAGCCCCTATCCTTTTCCTGCCCCCCCCCACCCCTTTCCCGCTATTCACTTTCATCCTCAACACCATTTCCCAGCCCCTCCCCTTTCCCTGCTATTCACTACACACCGGCCCCTACCCATTCCTTTCCCCTACCCCTTCCCTGCCCCTACCCCTTCTTTGCCCCTACCCCTTTCCCTGCCCCTGCTCCTACCCCTTCCCTGCCCCTATCCCTTCCCTGCCCCTACCCCTTCCTTGCCCCTACCCCTTCCTTGCCCCTACCCCTTCCCTGCCCCTGCCCCTTTCCCTGCCCCTGCTCCTACCCCTTCCTTGCCCCTACCCCTTCCCTGCCCCTTCCCCTTTCCTGCTTTTCACTTTCATTTGCAACACCATTCCCCAGCCCCTATCCCTTCCCTGCTCCTACCCCTTTACTGCTATTCACTTTCATCCGCAACATCATTTCCCAGCACCTATCCTTTCCCTGCCCCTACCCCCTCCCTGCTCCTACCCCTTTCCTGCTATTCACTTTTATCCTCAACACCATTCCCTAGCCCCTCCCCTTTCCCTGCTGTTCACTTTTGTCCATGACACCACACACCGGCCCCTTCCCTGTCCCTTCCCCTTTCCTGCTAT